CTTCATTGATTCTCTATTGTTTATTTTATTTATCTCTGTGCTGATCTTTCTATCTGCTAGCTTTGGGTATAGTTTTGCTTTTCTGTTTATATGAATTTTAAGATCAGCTTTTGAATTTCTAAACAGTAAACAACTGGGATTTGATAGAGATTGTATACAATCTGTAGATTAATTGGGGATTTTTTTTTCTGCCTTATCCATATTAAGCCTTCCAATCCATGAATATGGGATATCTTTCCGTTTATCTGGATTGTTACAATTTCTGGTCAACAATGCTTTACAGGTGTCAGCATTCAAATCTTATACTGTTTGTTAAAATTTGAAAGGAATTTTTTAAATGGGGCTTCAGATAGGCTCCTTATGACGTATGATGGGCCATGCCTCTCATCCTATCATACGGCAAATACAGGAACAGCTTCTGCGTCTGCTTTTTACCATGATCCCTGGCCTACATTTGTGCTTGTGTTGGACCAATGTTTTGACCAATGGCAGGGTTGGCTCCAGGGTCTGGGGGGCTTTAAGAGAATCAGGATGACCAGGTGTCACATGGGGGACTAAGGAAGGGATGGCAGAGCAGAGGGAAGGACCAGGATGGCCAAGAAAGTCGGCCTGAATCCAGCACCACCAGGGCTGTCCCACCGTTTTCATCAAGTGCAGTTAAAGTTTCTGAGGAAATGGTGCTTACATTTAACTACTTTGGGAACATATGCTGCGGTAGAGGATGTCAGTTTTCATTTGGCAATTCACCCCATGGTCCACTTTATAAAGCGTTTATTGTTCTGTTTTTTTCTTGGGTTGGTTTTGGCTTTAAGTTCATCAGGCTTCCACTTCCAGCAGGGCAATTCTTCCCAGGGTGGAGGGCAGGGGAGATACATGCTGAGGGTCTCCCCCTCCCTTTCCTAAGCTGAAGAAAATGCAGGCAGATAAGGCTGGATCTGAGGAGCTTCAGGCAGGGAGGAGGAACTGGTGTTCCTGGTGGGGAAGGGCCCACCATTGCCTGCAGTCAGAGGAGGGCTGGGGAGGACCCCTGTGCATGGTCTCCTCTTCTCTCCTCTCACATCAGTGGCTGCCCTGGGTGAGCCACATGCTTTCCCCAAAGCCCTGGGCTGGGATCATCACTGAGGTGTGCTGGCTCAGGTCACTGCCCAGTTTGGAGCTACTCGCTGGGTTTGCCTAGGAAGGTAGGGCTCCAAACACTGCCTTCCCATCCAACTGTGACTGAGTGTGAGACGTGGGAGTGCTGCCCAGCCACCTCAGTTTCCTTAGCCTGCAACAGGGTAAGCGCTCCTCGGTGAAGGCTGCCGGAGGGTTGGAGGGAACCTCCGGGGAAGAACCTCACAAGCACAGCGTGCACCCTGTAAACATTAGCTGTATTCTTCCCATTTTTATTCCTCCACTAACAATATGCTTTTTAGACGGGGTAGGCCAGACGTTCCATAAATGCAACAGCAAGATGTGCATTTACATTCTACTCTGAATTTGGGGAGACAGTTATACATTCATGAATAATGACTATAATTGCTGTTTTCTCCTGCTTAATGAAAAAAATGGTGGCGTCAAAAGCTGGAAGTTAGGAAACCAAGATGCTTTCTGCATGTTGTGTTTGCTACCTCATTTTCACAAAAGAGTTTACCAGCCCATAAGTATTTAATATACATTGTGCAGACCTAAAAAAACCAAAAACCTGGCGCGGTGCTCATGACACTTCCTGGTGTTGCCATTGCTTACAGCACGTTGCTGTTGTCATTACTGTGATAATATTTTAGTGTATGTCTCCTTGCATCCATCAGGAAGTTCAGCCCTGTACAGTGGAAATGAGAACGTGCTACCAACATGCGGCATGATCCGATTTAATTCATTTCGGTTACATTTTATCTTTTACGCTGTTCTTTTAAGGAGCCACATTCATAACGTAGCTTCCGGGCTAAACATTAGGCAGAAATAGGATACGTGAGTGGGGCGTCAATGGGCTCCCTTTTAATATGAAGGGAGATTAGAATTGTATTAAATTACACGTTAATGGGAAAACAAAGCGAAAGATAACAGGATGACAGCTTTACCCCGCCGTGAAGTCTGGCTAATTTCCCAAACACCTCTTTGCTGTTTAGCAGCTGAATATTGAATTTCATTCGAAAACTTGCTTTTAATTATATTAAAATAATATCTAAATAGTCCCCCAATATATTAAAGTGCTCTCGTTATAATTTAACTATTTGACAAAGGAAGATGCCGCTGGCCGTTACCCGTAGGCGCTCCTGCCAGACGGCGTAGGCACCTGAAACATAACACAGCAAGCCTCACTTTGAAGTTAAAGGATCTGTTTATTCTTGAATTGGAGGCTGTTTACTGTGAGAAGACACCGGAGAGATCCCTCTGCTGCCCTCCGTGGGAGAAACAGCCCCACACCTTGCTGTCAGTCTCTGGGGACCCCGTGGGAAATCTTTCCATTCCCTTCTGCATTCACTCCTGGGTGTGAGAAGCTGGTCCCTGATTTCCCAGGGACCCATGAAATCACATCCTCTCCTTATCCCATGTTTTCATAGCCATGCTGGCCTGGATGGCTGGCAGCCCTGGATCCTGACATTGAAACTGGGATGCTGTGAGGCCATACCTAGGACTAGTCACTTGATAAACGTTCTCAGCCGGGTATGTTTTTTTTTCTTGCCTTGGTTACCTGGAGGGTTGGTGTTGGACACGATGGGAAAAGCCTCACTCCCCATCTCTCTGCTTGCTTTCCCTGGTGTCCATGTTGCTCTGGGAGTCAGAGTGGGCAGCTCTCCAAGTGCAGGGCGTGCCAGAGTCACCCCAGGACTGCAGGTAGGGGTGCATCTCAGGCCACGGTGGGTGGCGGTGAGAGAGGAGCAAGGGGGAAAGACGCTCATGGTGATGGGGGAGCCGGCAGGCAGGAAATCGTTGTGGGATCCGAGGCTTGGAGGTGGCCTAGGGCAGGGGGGTATTAGACAAACGTGTGGGGGATCGTTTCCTTCCTGAGGAGATGGCCATGCTCAGCCCCTCAAGGCCACTTCTAACTCCTATCTGGGTCTTTGGCCCGAGGACAGCATACAGCAAAGTCCAGTGGTGTGGAGCTGGGTCTTAGAATCAATACAGGGACTGCGTCCAGGCCTGGGAGCAGAGGCCGGCAGAACCCGGGCAGTGACATCTTGAAATGATGGCAGCTGGGTGCGGTCAAGGCCCAGCAGACTCAGAAGGACGCGCAGACCATGGGGCAGAGGGAGGCTCATCGGCTCCTCCGGTTATCACAGAGCTTGGGTGTCTGGTCTGGGGCTGGCACTTCTCCGGGGTGGCCCATGGCTGTCACAAGCCAGGTGGCTGTGCCTGCAGGGAGCTCACTGTCCTAGACATGGCCCTGAGTAACAGGCCAAGGAGACAGGGCTCACCTGAAAGTTAGTGGATGGGCAGGGGTGCATTTGATGGGGGCAACTGTGTCTGGGTGGAGGTAGGAGGAGAGAGGGACAGAGGAGGAGGCCATCATGATGGTCCTGGTGTCAAGCAGGAGGGTCTGGGGCAGGAGGGGACTGAGATGGAGGCAGGTGTGGGGTTGAAGGGCGACCCCCCAGGAGGAGGAAGGTGTGGGTGCAGACACCAGGGGAGCAACAGGCCTGGAGCTGTGAGATCCTCCTTCTCTGCGGGTCACCCTGGCACCCAGCTGTCTTCCCAGGGACAGGAAAGAGCAAGGTACCTGCCCTTGGCGGCTCAGTGGCCATAAGACAGGCCATGCTGTGCTGTTGCCATAGCCTCCATCCTCCAGGCTTGCAGGGAAAGCTCATCGCAGGCTGCAGTGGGGCACAGGGAGGAGTCGGGTGGGAAGGGACAGAGCCTGGCCTCTGGGGAAGGAGACACAGCTGCCCGCACGAAGACGGGGCCTCGAGAAACCCCTCCCATCCTCACTAGCCTGTGAGGATGTGGATCGAACAAGCAATTTCACAATTAATACGTGTGTGTGTGTCTGTGTGTGGTGTGTGTGTGTGTGAGATACATGAGCTTGCTAGACAATATCACCCATCAAGCACCAGATGCTGTTTTAAAACTTCTTAAGCTGTACCACAAAATGGAAATCTAAGTGAAATACAACTATGTCTTTCCCTCAAATTGTCAGTTTCCTTTAATACCACAAAATCCGGCTGTGAAGAGACCTGGTCTTGGTCATGAACCGTTAGGGAATGTCAGAGTTTCCTCTCTGCTCCTCTCACTTTGTCATATAAAAACAACTGCCCGGCCAGGCACGATGGCTCACACCTGTAATCCCAGCAATTTGGGAGGCTGAGGCGGTGGATCACCTGAGGTGAGGAGTTCAAAACCAGACTGACCAACATGGCAAAACTTCATCTCTATTAAAAATAGAAAATTAGCTGGGCATGGTGGTGTGCACTATAATCCCAGCTACTCGGGAGGCTGAGGCAGGAGAATTGCTTGAACCCGGGAGATGGAGGTTGCAGTGAGCCAAGATTATGCCACTGCACTCCAGCCTGGGAGACAAGGCGAGACTCTGTCTCACAAAAACAAACAAACAAACAAAAAAATTAGTCGGGCATGGTGGCGGGTGCCTGTAATCCCCCCAGTTTGGGAGGATGAGGTGGGCGGATCACCTGAGGTCAGGAGTTTGAAACCATCCAACCTGACCAACATGGCAAAACCTCATCTCTACTAAAAGTACAAAATTAGCCAGGTGTGGTGGCACATACCTGTAATCTCAGCTACTCGGGAGGCTGAGGCAAGAGAATCGCTTGAACCCGGAAGGCAGCTGTTGCAGTGAGCTGAGATCCTGCCACTGCACTCCACCCTGGGCGACAGCGGGGACCGGGTCTCAGAAAAACAAGCAAAACTGTCCTCTCGCGTGCCCAGGCCAGAAATAGACACTGACCATCCTGAAAACCCAGTCCACGGTGGGGGGGTCACATACTCCACCTGCTCGCACCCGGGGGTCCCCGCCCACGCTCCCGCTCCCGGGTGCTGAGTGACGTTTCTGTGTTTTCCCGCAGACCCGCAGTACTCATGGTCGCCCACGCAGCACTTCAATGAGGAGCGCTACTCCCCGGCGCCCAGGAGCATGAAGGGCCTCTCCGGAAGCCGGACGCAGCCGCCGCTGTGTTCCGGGCACACGTGCGGCCTGGCGCCCCCCGAGGACTGCGAGCACCTGCACCACGCGCCCGAGCGGCCTCCCTACCTGCTGAGCGCCGCGGACAGCTGCCCCGGGGGGCGCCACCGCTGCTCGCCGCGCAGCTCGGTGCACTCGGAGTGCGTCCTGATGCCGGTGGCGCTGGGCGACCACGTGTCCAGCAGCACCTTCCCGCGCATGCACTACAGCTCGCACTACGACGCGCGCGACGACTGCGCCGCACCGCACGTGGGCGCCAAGATCAACCGCATCCCCGCCAACCTGCTGGACCAGTTCGAGAAGCAGCTGCCGCTGCACCGGGACGGCTTCCACACGCTGCAGTACCAGCGCGCGTCCGCGGCGGCCGAGCAGCGCAGCGAGAGCCCGGGGCGCATCCGCCACCTGGTGCACTCGGTGCAGAAGCTCTTCACCAAGTCCCACTCGCTGGAGGGCTCCTCCAAGGGCAACGCCAACGGGGCCAAGGCGGACGGCCGCGCCGACGACCCCCACCACGGCCACCACGCCAAGCATGGCAAGAGGAGCAAGAGCAAGGAGCGCAAGCCCGAGGGCAAGCCGCGGCCCGGCATGAGCAGCTGGTGGAGCTCGGATGACAACCTGGACAGCGACAGCACCTACCGGCCGCCCAGCGTGCTCAACCGGCACCACCTGGGCCCCGCGGCCCACGGCTACCCCGACGCCCTGCAGAGCCCCTTTGGGGACCTCTCACTCAAGACCTCCAAGAGCAACAACGACGTCAAGTGCTCGGCCTGCGAGGGGCTGGCGCTGACGCCGGACGCCAAGTACCTGAAGCGCAGCTCCTGGTCCACGCTGACGGTCAGCCAGGCCAAGGAGGCCTACCGCAAGAGCTCGCTGAACCTGGACAAGCCGCTGCTGCACCAGGACACCAAGCCCGCCCTGAGGCCGTGCCACTACCTCCAGGTAAGCAGACTCCCGCAACGGCAGGTGCTGTGGTCATTATTCCATTTCTAATTGACAGGTGACAACCGCATAACTGTGGGGAGTGCCACGGGATGCTCTGAGCTACAACACACGCCGGGACAGCTCCACTGAGCTGCTCACACGCCCATTGCCTTTGGTACACCGTCTGTTGTGGTGGGAACATGTGAAGCCCACTCTGGGTGATTTCCAAGTGTGCAGTACAGGGTTAACTGTAGCTGTCATGCTGGCCACTCGGTCTCTTGAGCCCCTCCTTGCTTGTTGGTGGATGAGACCGACATCTCCCAATTCCTCCCCATCCCTAGTCCCGCCGGTGAACACAGTTCCACTCTCTGCATCCGTGAGTTCAGCTGTTTCAGATACCACCCTTGAGAGCGACCAAGCGGCCTCTGTCTGTGTGCACCAGGCTCATCCGGCTTTCTTTCCACAGTGCCTCCCGGCTCATCCATGTCGTGGAGAATGGCAGGTTTCCTTCTTTCACAGGCTGAGTAGTGTCCCATGTGTGTGTACTGCATCTTCTCTATCCATCATTTGCCGGTAGACTTGAGGGTTGACCACACGCCATGGCCTGCAGGGATGGTGAGATGTCTATGGCAGCTGTCATGCGTGACTCTGGCTCACTCTGGGAGCCTCTGGAGATCCCAATTCCTCCTTGGAACCACCCCTGTAAGCACAGGGGACCATTTTTTAAATGCCTCTAAGGCTGGAGAGTTTAACAGCCACAACAAACATAAACTAGCTGATGTGCACGTTTTCCGTGTGAAAGCTAACGGTCAGGCCTCATGGAAATGGGCCTGTGACATTCGGGAGTTCACGCCCTGCACCTGACCACAGCCTCTATAAGCTGGAAAAGGCCTCTGTGTCTCTGGGGTGTGGATTTAGTGAATTTACCAAAGGCAAAAACAAATTAAAGAAGGTAGATTCCTAGAGCTAGCATATTGCAGAATTCTCTATTTCATGTGGATTTCCTCTGCCTTTGAATGGAGCCATCCCCGAGTTTACTGGGGAAGCCCTCTGGGAGGCACACGCTGCTGCTGAGGATGCCGCTGAGTGACTTCTGTCGGCCGATAGCGCTGTTAACAAAACGTATATGCACGTACTTGGCATGCATGTCCCAAATCCCAGATCACTCCTGCTTGCCTAGTGCAGTGACTGTGGGCCGCGCATCGGGTTAGAGTCGTCTTCCAGGAGAAATGGGCCATTGGTGGCTGAGCTGACAGCAAGTCAACTAATGGGGCGGAGCAAACAAGCGCCATGAGTTTTCTGGGAGCCGTAGTGGCAAATGCTTCCACTGGCACCATTGCCGTCGGCTCCAGCACCCACGTCTCAGCAGCTCTGATTTGAAAGGAAAGGCAGATTTACTCAGAGACAAAATGGCAGTTGCATAAAATGTTATTTTATAGCAATGGAAGAGGCTGATATTTTCTTTCCCATTGGTAAACCCTAATCATATCCCAGTGTCACAGTTGTGTCTGCTTGTTTAGAGAAGCAGCGTATTTAGGATCAGGGGTCACTCTGCCCTGTCTCCTCGTTGTCACAGACACACGGCTCTCTTGTTTTTGTCTCTGCCTGGGTGGATAGCCAGTGTTTCCTGACCGAGCACTGCAGGACCTTCAGGATGCTGTCACAGCCTCCAGGTTTTGCCCCAGGGTCCCTGCCTCCAACCCCTCCACTCTCCCCCCACCCCTCCAGCTGTGCCTTCTCCACAGGTTCTGTGCCGCTCGAACTTGCCTTCTCCCAGGAGCTTCTCCCACACACCTCCCCCCTGGAATACGCTACTCTCTGCCTCCAACAGCGACTCCATGGTCTAGGTGTGGGGAATATCAGTCATCCACAAGGGCAAGCTGACACAGAATGAACCTGCTCACCACAGCCCTTTCAAAAGCCATCACTCCAAGACTCATCTCATCCATCTGCACTGACGCCTCCTTCCCCACCAGGCTCCACCGGAACAAATCCCATATGACGTACAGATGCAACTGTCAATATGCCCGTGCTGATCTCCCAAAGATCCACACTGATCGATGAGGACGCTTTCTTTGGAAACATAACCAGCTGTGTTATCAGACAATGAAAACAGTAGCTCCTCATATTTCCGAATATCAGCCTGGTCAGGGTCACATTTCCCTGAGGGTCACTGTCAGCCTGGTCAGGGTCACATTTCCCTGAGGGTCACTGTCAGCCTGGTCAGGGTCACATTTCCCTGAGGGTCACTGTCTCTTTTTGGCCTTTATTTAAATCAGGATCCAGAGAAGAGGCCATGTGGCAGCTGATTGGTCTGATTGCCTGCCAGAGCTCCACGCCACGGTGGGTGTTGTTTCAGACCCTCTGGCCCTGTTGTTCTCCAGGTCCACAGCTGGCCACCCACCCCTGGACTTCCCTGCCCCGAGGCCTCTCCCCGTACGTATATGAGACATGAGACATTCCTCAGTCATGTTTCCTGGCAAGCCTGTAGGAGCCTTGAGAGCAGAGGCCAGGTCAGACCTCCCCTTTTCCCTTTTCCAGGGTCCCCCCACAACTCTGCCAAACGTTGGAGAGCCAGCAGGGTGGGGAGCACTGTGGGTCAGGCCGAGCTGTTGTCCCAGCAAAACACATTTTCCAGACTTCAAAACGTGATGTCTTTTTATAGTAACATGTAAACAATGACAGCCTGTGACGCGACCCTGGGAAGAAAAGGTGTGATTCTGTGGGACACAACATGGAGGTGAAATCCCCCTGGGATCCAGTGGTGTGGCCACAGGACGGAGACAGGAAAGGGAGGAGAAAGGGGCCACCAGACATGACACCTACCAGGAGACGAGAAGAGAGGGGAAAGGGCCCGCCAGACCTCGAACCCAGCAGGAGACGGGAAAGGGAGGCGAAAAGGGCCATCAAGCCCCACACCCACTGGGGCTTCCTGCCTGGAAATGGCTCGTCTGCTTCTCTGTGGGGGATGCTGGCCCTGAGTGGTTCTCCTTGAGCACAATACCTGTGGCCACCAGGCTTCTCATGTCCACTCAGATGACACATCCTCGGACGCTTAACCCAAGGCATCATCGCACCAACGCTGGGAAGTACTGCCTAGAGGATGGGAGGGTGTCCCCAGGGAACAGCCCCGGCTTTCACGGGTGCTCTGGTTTACAAGGGCGCTTTCCTGCAGTAGCAGGCTCCCCCCATTGCCACATCCACCTCCCAGTGAAACCACCTTTCGGGGACGCCGCTCCGTGACTTCTCTCCCCTCCTCACTGTCCCCAAGTGGTCACCGCGGGACCCCTCGAGGGAAGATCTGTGAAGGGGACAGCAGAGTGGCCTGCACACCTCCTCGGGCTGCTTTTGTCCCAGGACTCAGCTGGATAGACGTCTAGCGTTTACAAAGATGCCTGCGTGGGGCCGTCCCTTTCTGTTGACTACATAAACTTTCTGGTGGAAACTGCAGCTTTCTGGGTCTTCACAAACCCAGATTCCATTTCACAGCCCGGAAATAGGGATATTAAAGGAAGTTGTCTGTGGGTCCTGGTATGGGTGAGATTTGAAAGAATAAGAAGAAGGAAAGAAGTGTTTATCAGTTGTATCCCTGCAAGCTAGGAAGACTTGCAGCTGGCCGTCAGGAGACTTTCTGTCTTCCCCCTTGGTACAGAGCATGTGCTTGACATTAGAGGAAGAGTTTTTCCTGTTTTTAAGCAGGGAGGGGAGGGGTCCCTGCTGCCTCCCACAGAAGACCTAGTCAGTGTCTCCAGCCCTCAGCCCTGCCTCCTTCCCTCCTGTGGTCGGGGCCTTGGCTAGGTGGCCTCCCAGCCCCCGCCCCCTCCTGTGCTCCTGGTTTTCTCTCCTTCCGGTGTCCTCCCGCCTGGCATGGCCTAGCCACAGCCCTGGCCCTCCTGGAAGGAGCCTCGGATCCTCTTTTTTTTTTTGAGACGGAGTTTCGCTCTTGTTACCCAGGCTGGAGTGCAATGGCGCGATCTCGGCTCACTGCAACCTCTGCCTCCTGAGTTCAGGCAATTCTCCTGCCTCAGCCTCCTGAGTAGCTGGGATTACAGGCACGTGCCACCACACCCAGCTAATTTTTGTATTTTTAGTAGAGACGGAGTTTCACCATGTTGACCAGGATGGTCTCCATCCCTCGACCTCGTGATCCACCCGCCCCGGCCTCCCAAAGTGCTGGGATTACAGGCGTGAGCCTCCGCACCCGGCCTCCATTTTATTTAGTGTGTCCGGCTGTGTTCACAGCAGCTAGTTAGGCCTCGGCTTTGACGTGTCAGGCTTTTTACACGTTCACGTCTCAGAAGCAAACCGCAGGAAAGAACACAGAAGGGAGGGGTGGAATGAACGCGTGGAGCCGTGAACATTCCCCGCCAGCGTGAGAAGTGTTTGAGACCCTCTCCCTGCTGCGCCCTCTGCAGCGGGTTCCAGGGCCGAGTGCTGCCCCCTTCCCTGCAGCCGTTCCTCTTAAGGATGTGGCTCTGTTTTGTAGTTTGTGCAGATTCCTGCCTTTCAGGTTCAGCTATTACATTTTTGAAGTTTCCAGTGAGTACAAAAACACGCCTTAAAGTCCCATCTCTCAGGTCAACAGGTCGTCCTTGTGGTGTAGTCTAGGAAAATCATCCGTCTTTTACAAAATGGAGCCAGACTCCCATTTCTTGTCTCTACAATAAGCATTCAAAAGGCTTGTCACAGGGCCAGGAGCGGTGGCTCATGCCTGTAATCCCAGCACTTTGGGTGGCCGAGGCAGGCAGATCACCTGAGGTCAAGAGTTCGAGACCAACCAGACCAAAGTGGTGAAACCCATCTCTACTAAAAACACAAAAATGTGCCGGGTGTGGTGACAGGTGCCTGTAGTCCCAGCTACTCTGGAGGCAGAGGCCTGGGAATTGCTTGAACCTGGGAGGTGGACATTGCAGTGAGTCAAGATTGCACCACTGCACTCCAGCCTGGGCAACAGAGTGAGACTCTGACTCAAAAATATATATATAAATAAACAAATGGCTTGTCATGGCACGTTTGCC